ATTTTTCTTCAACTCGGGAATGTGTCTGACCTTCTACAAGGTCCACATGTTCCTATTAGGAAGTGTAATATCAACATCTCTTGTCCCTACTATGTTTAGTGCCTGTCCGTCAGCCAGGTATATTTTCTCGAAATCACCAGCAACATAATTCCGCATGATTTCTTGATGAGAGGAGGTATGAAAAGATGCCCATGAATCCAGTATCTAGTCATCAAATGGACTATGAACTACGAGTAATAGTGCGTGTTGCACTTCTTCAGCCATTGCATTCGCACCATCGTCTTCCGTCTTTTTCAAATTTTTGCAGTTCTTCTTTATGTGGCCAATTTTGCCACAATTCTAGCAAGTTGTCTGCTGTTGTCCAGACCTCGACTTACTCTTGCCCCTGTTCCTTTGATTTTGATCTTCCTCTATTTGAGTAGTTCCTGTCATATGACCTCCCACGAGTGTCAACAGTCAGAGTAGAACTCGATCCTGAGGTCTTACCAGAATCTTTCCTGCGCACCTCCTTAGCCAAAATTAAATCATGAATATTATCGTATTTAAGTTTCATCTTACCACCAGAATTACTAACAACCATCGTCATGGATTTCCAACTGTTTGGCAGTGATGCCAACAATATCAGGGCCCGAATCTCATCATAAAATTCAATTTCAACAAATGATAATTGATTAGTGATGGTATTAAACTCATTCAGGTGTCGGGTAACAGACGTACCATCTGCCATCCTTAGATTGAATAACTTTTTCATAAGATGCACTTTGTTATTCGCAGAAGGCTTTTCATACATACCTGATAAAGCCGCCATGAGATCTGCAATGGTCTTTTTCCTTGGTAACGTTGTGTGCAACTGATCTTGAAAGGGTCAGCCGAATAACCCCCAGAACCTGTCGGTCTAACAATTTTCTGTCTTCATCCTTCATACTCTCTGGTTCGTCTCCAATAGTGGAAGATGAAGTTTCTTCCCATAGAGGTAGTCCTCTATCTGCATCCTCCAGTACCTATAATCTATGCTATCGAACTTCTCAATCCCAGATGTCTCCACTTCTTCTTCAGCCATTGTTTATTTCAAACCCAAACCTTGGCTCTAATACCAATTGTTGTGTAACCAAATGATGACAATAAAGTGAAATTAATAAAAAAAAAATGATAAGAATGCAATCCAAACAATCACACAACACAAAATTTACATGGTTCGATAATTTGCTTACGTCCACGACACTGCAGGAATTTCACTATTCTCAAGAAAGAATACAGAGAGGGCGGTGGCCGTACAATCTCAATCCAAAAAACTCTAATCACCGAATAACAACTTATATATGTCCTGCGCACAGGACTACAAAAACGGGCCAAAATTTTTTCTTGGGGGCAACATGAGTGCTACGGCTTGGGCCGATACCTCTATGGATTAAGCCTCAGAAAATTTTCATTAAAAAATCATACAACATTTTTTGAGTTGGGTCATCATCCAGATCACACACAAACTAGACTCACAAAAGAAACCCAACACAAAATGCCAGTAACATACAAATGCTTCAAAGCCAACCTGATGCTCCTTGATATAGATTAATACGCAGCTACCATCCTCTGTTTCATACACATGGTTTTGCAAATTCTACAAACTCTAAAGCATAATGACAAATCACATAGATTAATTCACAAAAAATTAAATAACAAACAAGCACATTCATCGTTCTACCTATCTCATACACTGCTCAATCCTCAAACTTCATTCAACCCCTCTTATCTCATTGCCGCGATCGGGCGAGACAAGGCTTTCCACAAAACTTTCCCCATATTCAAACTTATTGGGAGCACCAAGAACCACCAAATTCCTTGATGTTTCTTCCTTCAAATTGTACACATTTAATCTCTCTCCATCCAAATCCAGCAAAACTACCTCATCTCCCCATAAGCACAAGGGTGTAATTTCACATGCATCAGGTACACAGATCATATATTTGGTCCAAGACTCCTCCACACCATACTCTTTCATCACCCAAAGATCAGTCTGGTTTCGATCGAGCATACAAAGACACCCTCCAAGAACCAAAAGTTTATTATACACAAACTTATCTTTATCAAGCGAACTAGGGGCTGCCACCTCCCGAAACTTCTCATCCCCCAAATCAAAAGCAGCGGTTACTAACAAATAATCCGAAACCCTCGAAGCTAGCCAATGCACACACCCATTTACATAAATCTCGGATGAAATCAGCGCAACGGCATGATCGTAAGGGGAATTTTGAACTCTCTTCCAACTGTTTGATTTTAGTGAGTAAACATTCTCAAACATATTTGTGCAATCAGGTTCGTGTTCATTATCTGTGTCATTGGAAGAAAGTGTCACTACCTTGTAATCATCGATCGATGAATCAAAACCAAGTCCATACATGATGAAACTAGCAAAAGGGTCAAGAGCAAACGACGAGTCAGGCAATTTCTTGGACTCTCTTGTTGTTGGTTTTAGCAGAAACTTTTTATCTTCTCCGTTGATCACTAAGAGCAAGTCATTACAGGAACCAACGACCTCGCCCCAGTTATTGGATTCTTGAAAATTAAGCTTCGTTGCAACTGAATCAGACTCAAGTGGATTGTTGTTCAAGGTGAGGGAGAAGAGAGAGTGGTTGCAAGAGATGAGGATGAGTTTTTCATAGTGGGTGTTTCGGTTGAGGTGTGCTTTGATGAGCTCTGGGGATGAGAGTTGAGACCGCCATAGCATAGATATACATCTGAACTGGCCGATGGAGTTTGCAGGGAGTCGAGAGAGTATGTCCGTGACGATCTCTTGGGGAAGGCCAACGCCGTTCTTCATTGACAACATCAGGGTCCTTTGGTTAGAAAGAAAAAAATATCGAAACCGAAAATAACAGAAAGTGAGGGAAAAAAAAAAAAGAAGTAAATGATTTAAAATATATTTTTATGCATGTATTTTGTTATAATGAAAAATTTATAGAAAAGTTTTAAAAATTTTTTATTCTATTGTTTAAAATAAAGTAAAGTTATAAATTTTTTTTTAAGTGTCTAAATTATCCTTAGTTATATTAAATCGGTCTAAAAAAATGTAATTATAATTAAAAGTTACAAAATTTTAAAAAAATAGTTCGAAACCTAATTTTAAGACAATCATCAACACAAAAGCCTTTGGGCAAAATTATATAATTAATCAAATTTATACCACAATTTTTTAAAATTAATGATCAATAAAATATTTTAAGAAAAATAAGAGTAAAATGAGAAGTTAGTTATAGATTATAATTTTCTTGTATTTTCTTGTATTTTTTATAAGAAAAAAAATTGGTTATTTATAAGAAAATTCAGGCATGAAATAAATTTATTTTTTCTATTATTATTTTTCTTTTCATGCTAACCAAACATATGAAAATTTTTAAAAAATTGTCTTTTTTGCATTTTCTACTATTCTCCTAATAAACAAACGAACCTTATAGATTTTTCAGAATGAGATTGATAAGATGAATTTTTTTTCAACTGTCACGGTGTTTGAGTCAGATTATTCATAGTGGACTAATTTTGGGGTGTCGAATGTATCAAGTTGGTTTCAAGTTTGTGTCAAAAATTCTAAAACTTAAACCTGACATGTTTAATAATTGTGTCGAGATATGAAAACACTAACTTGACTTGGCTATTAAATAGGTTACCCGAACCCGATTTGTTTGACATATTTAATAAACAGGTCATTTTCGAGTTAACACACATAACATAATATGTTTAATTTATTTAGTACATATAACATAGACTTGTTTAACATATATAACCTATTTTTATATCAGTTAATTACCATTAAATATATTATTCAATCATTCATCCAAAATTTTAAATAATTTTTTTACAAATAACATATCATATCTTATCAATAAAATTAACTAAAATACATTTAAGTTTCAACTCAAAAATTAAAGAAAAAAATATGCTAGTATACTGTCATAATAATGTTAAGAATCATAATGTCAATTATCATAATAGAAACAATAACTAATAAGTAATAATGTTAAGATCACATTAGTCATACATAATAGACAAATAATATTCCTATAAATGGGTCAACAATGAGTTAGATTAGATTCGTGTTTGAATCATGTCAATCCGTTTAAAAAATACGAATTAATTAGGTCAAAATCAGGTTGACATGATTTTGACATAAACCCGATATTATTTTTTTCATATTTAAGCATGTTGATCCATTTTACCCTATTAACTTGTTTAATTTCGTATCCAACTCATTAATTTTGTGTTCATTATGTGTCGCGTCTATCCCTCCTCCTTGAATTGTTATAGACAAGTCGTCCACACAGGTACTAAGTTGTAAATTCCTCTTGATTTGGCTAATGGCTGAGATTACTGGTAATCTCTGTTACCATTTTAAATACCCTTGAAATTATTAAACTGATTTTCAAGGCCCTCTGGCTATTTATCTTTTGGATGAGTAGTGGTTGTGGGATATAAAACTTTGGATTAATTTGATGGTAGGAATATGTTAAAGGTCATTTTCACCCCTTATTCCATCATTTACTCAAATTTAAATTTTGAGTAAAAATAGATTAAAAATAAAATTTTAGTTTTTGACTCAAACTTGTAGTAAATATTTAATTTTTTACTCAAATCAAAGCAGACTCAAATATTTAATTATCAGATTTTACTATTTTATAGATTTAACGATTATATTTTATTTTTCTTTAAATTTGAGTTTGCTCTACTAAAATTTAAGTTTGTCTATTAAAATACCTTGTACCAAATTAAACTTTTTATTCAGAGTTTGAGTTTGAGTTGACATTGGAGATGCCTTAAGTGACACACCATCATGTTTAGTCCACTTGAAATTTTAAGTGGACAAATTATAATATTTAAAACTATATAAAGTTGATTTCAACAAAGGATAAAATTGAAGGGTAGAAATTGTAATTAAAAACCATTCGAGTAGATTTTAAGCTGAAACGGTCTGCGGCACTTGTTAATTTATCCACAAAGTTTCACTTCCTACGATGGAGAAGCCTCCCCGAATGAATGGAAGCCACGTCCTTTAAACCCTTCTGTCACATAAACTAATTCGCATTGAATTCGAGCGAAGTCAAAATGGCCGTGTACACTTCATCTTCTTATACTGTAAGTGTTTATGTGAACACTGTGGTTTGGCAATCTCTCTCTCGATGTTTTATTTTGTCGCATATTCATGGTGTGATTTAACATGAATATATGTATCGGTTGAAATGGTCGAAGATTTCCAGTTCTGGATGAGTTTGGGATTCTTATGATAATAATTTTGTTATGTGGTAATCTGAATAGCCACTTTTTGTGCATGTGCTAAATGAGTATATTAGTTTTAGAGTAAAATCAAATTGGATAAACTACTAGAATTGGTAGCATGCCAGTTGCTTGATCAGAGGTCATTTGGACTTGTATAGGTGTTTTTACTCTTATAATTCACCCATGTGTATGTATACTGGAAAAGGGTTACTGTTATTTTAATCATGGAACCAATGGGTGGAGAAAAACATGGTGAAAATATTAACTATGAAGTTTGTTAATGGATCTCTTCTTTCACAAAGTTCATGCTCTGTGAACTTACTGGAAAGAAAAATACAACTTGATAATTTGTCGATTCCATGCTTAGTTCAATCAGGGGACCAATGGTTACTTAAATGGTTGGACTGTGAAGCATCAAAATGTGGATTTGAGAATGCAATTTGAGTATGAGAGTAACCACTTTGTGTAGTGGGGGAATGTTAGATCTGTATCTAGTTTATCCCTCCCATTATTTTACATAAACAGAATGGCAACTAGCATAGCATAGGGCTTTGTTTGATGCTTATGAAGAGAGAGAGGAAAAGGATAGGAGAGTTTCTTTCTGGGGCATGAGCTCTCACTTTCCTTTATTTTTGTAATCGCTTCTAGATCCAATTGGAGGAGGTTTAATGTGATCGAAAGTATGCCACCAAAGCTCTTCTTGCATTTATGGGAAGGAGGAATGATGTGGATCCAGTTGGTTATAGTTGGGAATTCTTAGTTATTGGTTAGAATGAATTAAAAATACATTGGAGCTGTTATAGGGATGTAGATTCACCAAGGCGTTGGTTGCATTTTTGGGAGTGAAAATTATTTTTTGATGGATAGTCATAGGCTCCAAGATGAGGGCGGGCCTTGGCGGTGAGGTTGCTCCATTGTGACCTGAAGGTCACGGGTTTGAATCACATAAACAATCTTTCTGCTTTCAACGGTAAGACTACGTACATCCAACCCTCTTTAGACCCTTTAATGGCGAGAACCTCATGCACTGTGTACGCCTTTTTTAGTCATAGAGTGCTAGATACCAAAATGAAAGAATTGAGGGCAAATGATCTCTTTGCATTTTGTGGTAGTGAGCATTTGTTAGTCAAACCTAGTTGGCACCTCAAGGATGATTAGATAGGATGCTTCTAGGTCTTATATGGCCTATGTCCATGGAACTTATGCATAAAAAATTATTGAACAATAGAAGCTGTAATCTTGTGACTCTTCCACTTAGTTGTTGGGTTTGGTGAAAGAGACTGGATCCACCTTGATCACTACATTTTTATAATTTGTACATAAGCATGTTTTTCATGAGATAAAGTTTATTGTATTTATAAAACACACATATTTCTCATAACATATTAATCACTTGCAGTTTTTCATGCTTCTTTGTCTCTCTTGATTGAGAATGTAACAAAATTGACATATTTTCTCACTCTGAAATAAGACATTGTTATTTTCAGGCTAAAGTCTTTTGTTGGCTTCCTTTTTGAGCATTAATTTTGAATCTTATTATAGTTTTATCTGGATTACGGGTATTATTATCTAAGTAGCATCTAATACAGTGTCTGTCCCTCAGGTTCTGTCGCTGAGAAGTTGCGCATCTCTTAGGAAATCTACCCCTGTTGGCTTATTATATTTTAGAAGAAGCTCTTCAGCTAAAATATTTTCTCTTGTTAACATCACATACTATTCTACTTATTCCAGCAATGAGTTTTGCACTTCATCAAAGCGAAGATCTCGTGGACCTGTAATGGCAGCGAAGAAAGCTTCTGAAGGTACAAATTTGTTTATTTGAAAAGCAAAATGCGAAACATTATCTCTATATGGTACTCACAGTGCATTCTGACTCCTAATGCTCTGATGGGATCTCCTGTGCATTATTTTCCCCACTTTACTGAAGAGGCAACTTTTTGTTTTGTGTAAATAGATTGACATGCATGATATTGTTCAGGAGCAAATAAGGAAGATGGGAGGTACAAGCACACAGTTGATCTGCCTAAAACCACATTTGGCATGAGGGCGAACTCTGTAGTAAGGGAGCCTGAAATTCAGAAGTTATGGGAGGAAAATCAGGTCTTTAGGAGAGTAATCGACAGGAATAATGGTGTAAGTTTTGTAGATTTGCTTGAACTTCTGTTGTACAGTTGTTGAATTTTTAGCTGATGTTAAATGATTTGACAGGGCAGTTTCATTCTTCATGATGGTCCTCCTTATGCAAATGGTGATTTACACATGGGTCATGCTTTAAATAAGATTTTGAAGGATATTATTAACCGCTATAAGGTATTCATTGCAGCCTGCTTTATCTTTGTTATGCTTGCTTTTCAATTACTGTCCATCCCTGCAAAATTATTGTTATGTGGGCACATTTCACATGGGTTCAGGTATTGAATGCATATGTCTGCATGATCTGATGATTGTGTATCCTTGTGAACATTCGGTTGCGGTGATATGAAACCATGCGTTGCTTGCATGTGCTTAGTCCTACATCATTGGCTTGCCCCATTGGACTTAAATACAAAGGGATATTTCTTTGAGTATGCACTCATGCTATTGTGCTTTTAGTGTGGGTAATCTTGCAAAATTTAGAGCCTCTTTCAATACCAAGAACTGGAATAGCCCCTATCACTGACTAAAATGGGAAACACAATTGGAATTTAAATTTTCAAAAATAATGAATGTTTTGGTGGGTTGTTTTGCTTTGTATGCATTAGGATGGCCAATAAATTATTATTTACGCAGGACAGATGCATAGAAAAAGTTCATGTTGCCTCAAACTACCCATATATAGTCCAATAGTAGAGCAAAAAGAATTGGGTATACCATCTCTACATGGTTGCACCCCTTTGGTGCTCTATTAGTTATTTTCATCGATCAAAAGAGAAAAAAGGTAAATTGCTAAGCAAGAAAGCATCATTGTGGATGGGGTGGGGCTCCTATGTAAGCACAACACATACAAGGACAAAAGCAAATGCATATCCTCTAATGAAGAGAAATCTTTACCTAGATATCTAACCAAGCTCCTACAACTACTATCTAGCAACCTGCAAATAGGGCACTCAACTGAAAAAGCTGTAGTTTGATGTATCTTTTCAAATAGTCTTTAATACTTCTTTGCCAACAATAAAGGGCACAACTGGGCTACTCCCCAATCTTCTTGCTTGTAGTGCTAGGCTTGCACCATGATAAAAATTGTACCACTTCTCGAGGTGCAACTTGGGTGGTTAAATTCAAGCTCAAACTGAAATATTTGCTATGTGGACGAAAATTTTTAATTCTTGGGTTGGACAGGCAAATAAATCCCTACCCGATCTAAATTTGGGCAGTCCTTGTGTTGGGGTCTCGGGAGTTGGGTTTTTGGGACCTAATTCGAACTCAACTTGAATGAGTGAATTGCGTTCAACCCAAAAAATCAAACCCAAACTGAACACCCAGATTTTAACTTAAGATGTGTAATCGGAGTTATAGCAGAGTTTAAAATTAACATCGTAGAAATCGGGTTCAAAGGGTCGAGTGAAATTTGGGGAAGATTGAGCTCGGTTTAGAGTTTTAAAACTTGGGTTGACCTCTCAACCGCCATCACCTATAGAATGATAGTTATGCAGTGGGGTTTGATCTTGTTGGTTTAGTAGAGAAGAATGGGAGCGAAAAAGAGAGACAAATAGGAAGAGAAGGGAGATGGTGTGTGGTTGGCGACCAATGCAGTTACTGCTGGTGCTGCGGGGGCATGCTTTTGATGGATTAGGTTGGGGAGTGACGATATAGTAGTTGTTTTACATGAATGACATCCTTGAATTTGTCCATTTTTCTGTAATTTCCAAAAACAAATGTGAGATGCTAGTGCAATTTCCATCCATTTCCGTCAGCTGATTAACAAATGGGGCACTCTTATCGAAGCACAAGAAAAATGGAGGTCAGATTCATCTTTCTTTCATAGGAGACCCTTCGATTAAGTTGACTTCAGAGAAGTTCGTTTTTTTTACCCTGATAGAAAATACACCCACTTTTTTCTTACTATCCTCCGTTTTCACTCAGGCATGAGGTAGCAGGCACACAACTCTTATTTGCTTTCTCTGTACTGAGGGGCATACTCAAATGACTTATTGTGGTTTTTGTTGGCAACATTGTGAGGAATATTTATGTGGTTATGATTCACTACAGAGCTATAACTATTTTGACGTTGAGGAAAGAGACCAAAATTACAATTCAAAAAAAAGAAGATGGCTAATGGACACACATACACACACACAAAGGTGCATATTAGTACTGACACAAATAGTCAAGTTGTTACCATACTTCCATATTAATTCTCTTGTTTTTTGTTGCAGCTTCTTCAAAACTGCAAAGTTCATTATGTGCCTGGTTGGGATTGCCATGGGCTACCAATTGAGTTGAAAGGCGAGTATTACATTTCGTTCTTGTTTGGCTAACATTTGCTCCACTCAATCTTCATTTTGGTTTAATTGTCTTGATGCTGCTGCATATGCTTACATGTAAACAATGAAAATTTTCATCCAAATATTGGCTCTGGTATGCATAATTTAGACATTCGAGAAATTGACATATTAAAATGGGGTACAAGAATATATGGTGTATAGATATTAGAATAAAGGTAAATAAGTTATCATGACATTTCTTCAATCTTTTGCAGTGTTCAATGGAAAATATTAGATTCACCTTCAAACATCTTGTGAATTAATGTTTTTCTCTTTGTGTGGATTGAATTGCTACGAAGTTTATGTGTTATCTAAAGCATGAAGCTTGACTTATTATATCAGCAGGAAAACTAGACTGTGAGATCAATATTCAATGTAATATGCAGTAGCATATACAAGTAAATAAAGATGGAATTATGCTTTAATGATTTATGTGAACTGAAACCTAGATTTAAACCACAGTTTCTGCCATACTGCGAGTGAAGCTCAAGTCGGGGCCAATTTGAGTTGGTTTCGGGCAAGGATCGAAATTTCATTTTGGTGCATTGTTTTGGTCACCTAGGAAACAAAAACGATTTGAAAATGTGTCAAAAACAATTTAGAAAAAGAACCCTAACGGAGAAAAAAATTGAGAATTTGTTTCTGAAACATTTCCAAACATCTTAAAACACTTCAAAACATTTCAAAATATAAGAATTCCAATATTCAATCACTGATTCGTCTCGATTTCTATGGAAACAAACGTTTTGACTGTTTCAACAATTTCTAGGGAAGAGATATGTGTAATGATCTTCCGTCACGATTATACACATGAGATGCTAGACACAACCTAGTGGGGGAGAAAGTGAATAGGTTAATTCAAATTACGGCACGAATAGTCACCAATTTAACCTAATCTACTACAATTACTAAATTCAAAGTTAATTGGTCAATTACGTGCTTGAACTTGAACCCTTTTTAACAACTCAAAAACCGCGCATGTGAATGGATGTATGAATATGTCAATTAATTGATTTGCATTCTAATTCATCATCCCAACCAAAGCCAATTGATTACAAAACCCTTTTTTATGAATTGAAAGATAAATAATTATTCATTTCAACACATAGTGCGCATGTGTGCAATTGCTAGTGTATATGTAAAATAAAACAAGTAAAGAACATAAGTCATTTATTGACGTAGAAAGCCAACCAGGAAAAATCGTAGTGAACCACTCGGGGTTCACCAAGCCTGATCCACTTACCCAAAGTCAATTTACAAATACTCGAAATTATATCTTAATCAATACCATGGCTAGATGCTCATTTCCTTCAATAAATCTCTCCTTCGAATTCCCCTGCTAGGGATAGTTTCACTTGAACGCCTCCACCACAATGGATCATTTAGGTTCTTCAAGCAACCTTCTCTGCCAAGATCATCGGGATGCACACTCCTTCAATGGATTTTATAATTCCAAGCAAGAACTTTTTCAAGGTGTGAATTTGAATTAGAGATTTATGATGGAGAAGCTTTGGTCTTAGGGATCTAGGTTTTTTAGATAATTTCTTAAGGTTTAAGGGACATGAAATATGCTCACAAACAAGATTCCCTAGCTTGTGAAGGCTTCCTATATTTATAGGTTCGGAATTAGGTTAATCTTGGGGACCAAGTGAACTAAACGAACGACTGCTTGAACTGTGAGAGAGCGGTGAGGGCGCAATTGTTACTGGAATGGAAAAATAATCCAAACGCAAACAAAGACTGCTCGAGTCGTTCGAGGGCCGCTCGAACCTTCTGCAAACCACTTTAAACCACTTAAGCGGCCAGAGGGTGGTCTCCATTGTGTTCAAAGAGCGCTCTAGTCGAAAGCAAGTGAGTAGAGGGCGGTCCTTATTGGTTTTAAAATCGAAAACCAAGTAAAAATTAGTCCTCTTAAGCACTAAAGAGTGTTGTTCATGTAGGGTCCGATAAATGACTAAAGTTATATTTTCAAAATACATTTAAGATTTAAAAAAAAAATTTCAATAAAAAATCCTAGAAGTCATTTATGGATTTTTTCAATTCCATTTTCATAACCCTAATTATCTTAAGTCTAAAATTAAATCAATGGATCTAAGTCTCTAAGTTATTACCTTTGTCCTAAATTTGAAGGTGCATTGGAGAACTCATGACCAGGCTTTGTAGCTTGAACTCCTCCCTTCATTGAAGCTTAAGGATTTTGATCTTTGAAAATTCATGAGCATGGAATTAGGTTGAGATTTACATAAGACTTCATGAAATTAGCCAATTACAACAGTATCTTTGTTTTGTCTATGTAACTAATTCTGCCCTTTTGAACCTCGGCAATGCCCTTCGCTTATCAGCAAAGTTGGTAGTTATTAATTCCTTTAGCAGCATAGTTCTCTCTCATCGTTTCCACTATGTTATTGTGGGAGCATAAGCATTTGAATATTGAAAACTATGGACATGTTGAAGGGCTTCATATGCATCATTTATGATGGCCAAGAGAACAAAGAAATTGCCTCTTAAAAGGCTTTTTCGTTCTTGAGCATTCATATATTTGTTACACAGGAAGGAACTTTTAATTCCAATTTCTCCAAAAGTGCCCTTAATTTGCATCTGATATAGCTGTAACATGAGTGATTGTTAGACAAGGTGTTGAACTTTGTTATTAGTTGATGTCTAACTTTATTCTCAAGGCTTTAATGTGGAAACCTAAAGAAAGCTTCCTAATTCATATTTTTTGGTGATTTGACAGCTGTGTTGAATTATTTCAGTGTTGCAGTCATTGGATCAAGATGCAAGAAAGGAGTTGACACCATTAAAGTTGAGAGCAAAGGCGACCAAATTTGCCAAAGCGACTGTGAAGACTCAGATGGCATCATTTAAGGTTTTACTGAAGTTTAAACTTTATTATCCATATGTAAATCTTAAAGTAATACTTTGCAAAATGCCTTCTGTAATCTCTGTGAAGTTACTAACAAGGATGACTAACTCATTGATTTTTAAATCTGAAAGAAATATTTCCCAGTTACAAGTTTGTGCTTAGAGTTTTTTAGGAAATACTTGAACACTAAGAAAATATATTGTATGTTTACAGCGATATGGAGTGTGGGGAGACTGGGATCATCCTTATCTAACTCTTGATCCAGAATATGAAGCTGCTCAGGTAGCTGGTATAGCTTTTTGCTGGGTCTTGTTATCGCTTGAGTTTCTTAAAACTAACTAAACTTGCAGTCATGAATTGTGACTCATCATCACGTTGCTCTTGATGGTTGGACTTTCATAGCTTTACAAAACACTCCTCTATATTGTAGCTCATGGAAAATTATCTGACCTATCAGTTGAAATATTTGAGGTTCTTAAGATATTTTTTCTTTTGCCACATGATGTCTATTAGATTGAAGTGTTTGGCCAGATGGCCTTTCAAGGGTATATCTACAGAGGCAGAAAACCAGTTCACTGGAGTCCGTCATCACGAACTGCTCTTGCAGAGGCTGAGTTGGAGGTAAATGAACATTTGATTTCTAGTTTCTCTTCTGTGTTTCCAATTTTTCAGTGTTTAATAATCGTGTCTTCTGCCACTGGAAATTGCTACAATTTGGAATGCAGTTTACTGCTAATTTTTCTAAAGGGTGAAACTAAACATAGTTCAAGCTACTTTTTTGTTGGCATAATTGTTCTCTGACTTGATTTAAAGTTTATGTGCAGTATCCAGAGGGGCATGTTTCAAAGAGCATGTATGCCATATTCAGATTAGCCAGTGCTCCTACGTCTGATGGCTTATTGGAGGAGTTTTCCCCGAATTTGTACTTGGCCATTTGGACTACAACCCCCTGGACTATACCAGCCAATGCTGGTAAGCCTTTCACTGTTTTACTTGGATTATTATCATGGTATGTTATACAAGTATGTAACGCAATTATCCCTCCCCCCCCTCTCCCTCCTCTTTCTTCTCTATTTTCTTCAACTCCTTGGGATAGTGTTTGCATATTCAATTTGCAACAAAGGTTGATATCAGGTGTTAGAGTGCTTATTTTATATCATTAGAAGTGTAGGGTAATAATGTAATTACTCATAATGTTAGTTTATTATAAATAAGAGAGTTTAAGACAACATAGCTCACGTATAGATTATTCTCATGAATCTCATCTTTCATTCTTTTTCTCTCTCTTTATATTATTCTCTCCTCCTCCTTACATAGTATTGTAGTTTTTACTTCTTAACTTTAGGCTTTGCATTGTATAGCAAAAGTGAAAATTGAACAACCTGGGTTCATATGAAAATTTTCTACTCGCATCTCGAGAATGCTCTCTAATTGAGTTGTTGTATGAATAGCCATTACTTATGCAACTTTTTTGACCTTATTCTGGTGCAAAAACTTAGCAATACAGTGGCCTTCATTTCATGGGACCTGATTTTGAATTGTCCATCATCATGGTTTTGAGTGAGTTCCCTGTTGTTCCTGAAAAGTTATCTGTTGTTGGTCGAATATAGTTGTTAATTGCTGGGGTTTGGAATTCAAAGTTGATCAGGATTCTTAGCAAGTGTTTTCCTGCAGTTTACTGTAGTAATTAAACATCAACTTGATCTGGAATGATGCAAATAGAGTAACTAAAGTGCTCCAGAACAAACTAAAGGGGGGGGGGGGGGCATGAGCAATGCACATCCCACTATATACCCTCTCTTCAGTTCTAGCCTTTATGTTTTTCCACTTATTTGAATTCCTAAGCGTGGCCAAGTGGTAGCATTCTATAAGTAAAATGACCAAACTGACTCAGAGTTCATTGGTTAAGGTGATAGGAGTGATGGATGACAAGAGAAAGTTTATGGAGTGGCCTATTCACTTATAAAAGCTACAAATGACTGATGCTGACTAGCTTAGTTTCCGCATGGATGATTTTGCATTCTTAATAGTCTCACCTTTCCTATTTGCAGCCCCACTCTAGCTTGTGGAGGGACAAAAGATTAACTGAATATATTGCAAACATGCAAAGTTAAAGGGAAAACAAAAACAAACACAGAGACTTGAACCTGTGACCTCTTGTCCAAGCTTCAATCCGATGTTAGACCAACAATTGCTCCAACGCAAGTAAGATCAAATTATCCCCATCAAAATTAAATACTATATAGTCTCATTTTAAAGGGAGAAAATGTATTCGTCATCGTTATATTGAACACGTTTGAGGCTTAGCCCAACTGGAGGTTACAAAGTTTGATACATATCGTTGGGTCCAGGACTCCAGATCAACAGCTTAAGTGTCTGTGACAATGTGGCAGTTGCCATTGATCAAGAAGGAAAATCCAAAAGAGGAACTTGAGTTTTTGGTGTGATTGCCTGGGAATTGAGATAGATCAAACGATTTTGCTATAGGCGACAATTGATAACCAAAAGAAAAGAAAAAAGGAAAATTGATTGTTTGACATTGTGCATGGGCAGACTCTCATAGGCTAGCTTGTCTAGGACTATCAAATCATGATGCACAATTTTGCTTTGTGCTAGTAGATTCTATACCTACTACTTATCTTATCAAACTTATGGCTTGCACCGTATAATACAGACGATGCTGTTAGTCTTGTTAGACTAACAACTTCTTTGTGTGGAATGTCTACTTTGCTGGCACTCTCTCTCTCTCTCATAGGTTTACTTATTAATTTCCTTCTTTGTGGCCAGCTGTCGCAGTGAATGCTAAGCTTCAATATGCTGTTGTTGAAGTGCAATCAGTTTTGGCAGATGTTTCTACGTCTTCTGCAGTTGGAAAAAAGAGGCTAGGCAATGTTTTGAAGGAGCATAAGAAGCCCTGCCTTATCGTTGCTTCAGATCTTGTAACAACATTGGAAACAAAATGGGGCACGAAACTTATTGTGAAGAAAACAGTACAAGGTTCAGAGCTCGAAAATTACAGGTCATGTCTGGAAACAGAATAATGAATTGTACTGTATTTTGGGAGCATTTTATGCCACACAATTTTGCTGACGTCATTAACTGGTTTTCATGTAAAATTTATTGCTAAAATTTACATCGTATAGTACAGAAGTTTTTTAGAATCATTGTTTTATAAATTTCCAGCAATCGTGCATCTCTAACATGTGGTTTCCAACCGTTACTTCAGGTATATTCTTCCAATTGGTGATAGAGAATGCCCTGTTGTCATTGGAGGAGACTACATTACGACAGAGTCAGGAACTGGACTAGTCCATACAGCTCCTGGTCACGGTCAGGAAGATTATGTAACTGGCCTGAAATATGGTTTGCCTATACTTTCCCCTGTAGATGATGATGGCAAGTTTACTGAAGAAGCTGGACAGTTTAGTGGGTTAGATGTACTTGGGGATGGTAATGCTGCTGTTATTGACTACTTGGATGAACATTTGTCAATTATCTTGGTAGAGCCTTACAGTAAGTTGCATTCCCCCTTTTGCAATTCTAAATTGAGTCATTCATCTATTCTTCTTTCGGAATGTTATTATTAGAGAGGATTAGAAACTTATGTATGTAAATTTCATCACTGTTTCTATCATACAGATCACAAGTATCCATATGATTGGAGAACAAAAAAGCCTACTATATTTAGGGCAACTGAGCAATGGTTTGCATCTGTGGAAGGATTCCGGAAGGCTGCTATGGATGCAATTAGCCAAGTAACATGGATTCCACCTCAGGTATTTGGTCCTTTACTGCATCAAGTAGCCTAGAAGTAATACAAGTTCCCAGCCTTTGGCTTTTTATGCTTCTTTTTGTTTCCTTTTAAGAGCCTCCCTAGGCATTGATTCTTTACTTTATGAGGATATTGTTCAATTTCCTTCTGGTGCTTTAGATTTTACGTAGCTTCATTCTTGATTTTGTAGCTTTCTTTTCATCCAATAATTTTATGCTTTTAATAAAGGTTTCATTTTGTTTGACAATCTCATTACCTTTGATCAGGCAGAAAACAGAATTTCTGCAATGACTTCTAGCCGCTCAGATTGGTGTATATCACGGCAAAGGACTTGGGGTGTCCCCATTCCAGTCTTCTATCATATCGAATCAAAGGAACCTTTAATGAATCAAGAGACGATTGATCATATCAAGTGTAAGGCGGCTCCTACATCCAATGATTGCTTTCTACGTTTCTCTATCATATTTGGTTCATAATATATGTTGTTTAATTCGAAGAACATCTTTGATATTCATCTAGAACTTCTACTATCCCATATTTTTATTCCTGTTGTCCATGTAGAAACTTAAAATCCCTTTTCTCTCTCTCTCTCTCTCTCTATATATATATATATATATATATACACACACACAGACACATATATTTATCCAGACACATGTATTTCTCTATGCATATATATTCTTAGCTAGTTAAGGAATGTGGCTTTAAGAATGCGATATATGTATACATCTCTAAGATATATGCATATGCTCTTGCAGTGCATCATATGCCTTCCAGATTGTTGGAATCTCAAGTTTGTATTAAGAATTGTCTTAGTTTATATCTAAATTTTGAATTTTCCCATGCTGTGGTCATTCATTTGGCAGCTATAATTTCCCAAAAGGGGAGTGATGCATGGTGGTACATGTCGATAGAGGAATTACTTCCCGACACACATCGCCATAAAGCGTCATACTATGTAAAGGGGACGGACACGATGGATGTGTGGTTTGATTCAGGTATTATAACAAATGACATGAAACTATTTCGTATATGAGAAATTTATGTATTTATCACAAACTCATGAATTCGCTTTCGTGCTGCTTTGTTCCCACCATTGGCTTCTTTAACTACTACAGGGTGACATCATTCTGATCCTTTTCGGACATCAATTGTGAATTTTAAGTTTATCTTTAATGGGGGAAAGGGGTTGTGGAAGACACTTTTATGTCCTTTGTAACTAGTTGCAGAATAGTTGTAGTAGTAATGTAGCTGTTGTTGTCATAATCATGGAATTTTGTGCTCGATATGCAAACAAAGATCACTTCTGCTCAGATTAGTAGTACACTTGAATTGCTTTTGAGGGAAATAATACAACAGAAACTTGAAAGCTTCCAAGAAAGCCATTATGCAAATAAAGGCCTCCGGCCCTCATGTTACTCATGATGAGAGTAGACACCTGATCTGATAGGAAAAACCTGCTGAACAGTCCTATCCATTCAGGCAGAATCTCATGTTGCTTCCTTTGTCCTGATGTCTGCCTCCCATATGTGGCAAGCTTCTATGCATTGACCTCTTGTTTCTTGTTCATCCTACGGTGGCTTAGAAATATCTAGGAAATTGAGGGAGGAAAAAATGTGTGTCCAACCTATGCTTTTACGACTTGCTAATTTTGAAATCATTGGGCTTGTTTGGTTCTTGGTTAAAACCTGGTTTTCTCTCTCCCAAAACTGAGAAAAAGCAAGCAGCACAGAATGTATTTCAATACTTTCTGGAAATTTCCTGTCAGATTTCAGAAATTACCAGTGGGAAAGATGTACCCTAGCTATTTGAGAATGCAAGAGCATGATGCTGAAGCCTCGCCTTTAAGATTTATGCCTTAGTCAGATTGAGGTCCCACATTTAAAGGCCTCACATGCCCCTTGTGATAACAAGATAGAGCTGCTAAATTTTTTCTATCAAAGGGTGATATATTGTTATCATAATCTTCTTGTTATTTTATTTTGATAAAGGTGTGCCTTTCTATAAGCTCCATAAGCATTAAACAAACATCTTAAAAGTAGTTGTTTTCTTCTTTTAATGGGCCCATCTTTTTTACATTTTTATTTTCATAAAATGGACCATCAAAGATGGAACATCCTTCATTGGGATTCTCAAAAGGATTACTTTAATCAACGAAGAAACACACGACAATATGAACTATTTCTCATTGACTAATGTCTATGGATCCGAATGGTTAATTGATTCTTTGCATTTTTTGTAGCATAAAGAACACATAAAAAAGTGCATCAAAATGTTAAGCCTGTCAGCACTTGCTTAGAATCTCGAGTAATTGATGTTAAATCTTGTTACCGAAGTGTGCTTTAAGCTGGTTTAGTAAACCTTTGTTATTTATTCATCTTGTTGAACAAGGGGAAAGACAGATTTATGGGGGTATTAGGCAGAAAGCTTGGGATTTCTGATTCCTCTATCACATTCAGAATGTTTGGTGTAGTCTGCTAAAAGAAGTCAGTGCCCAGTGTTTGTAGATTTTTGTTCCGTAGCACATTCCACACATAATGGATAGTGTTGCTGTATAAGTGCATACTCCTCCAGATCCTTTTCCTATCTGACATCCCACCAGCATTTTCATTACATATTAGTCTAGGTTGTCATTTTGCAAGCATGGCAATACCCACACTTGGATTTTGATACTTCTGATACCAATTGTACCATTACCAAAATTTAAATTGTCTGCCTCAGGCTCTTCTTGGGCTGCTGTGTTGGAGAAAAGAAATGGCCTTAGTTGTCCTGCAGATTTGTATATTGAAGGCACCGACCAGCATCGTGGTTGGTTTCAGAGTTCTTTGTTGACAAGTACTGCTACAAAAGGTAATGAGCGTGTCTGAATTTGATCTTTATCTAGTTCATATATGTGAATAAGAAAAATTGCCCACAAATTTTAGTCAACTGCTCATTGATAAATGATAAAGTTTGTCATGTTCCTGAAGCTACAAATTGGTTTTAGGAGACCTAGCACTTGTATGTTTCGGGCCATGCCTTTCGTTGGCCTACTTTGGGTACTGAAACTAGTTCAAAATCACAGCCTACTATGCTTTATTTAAGTTAGTAAGATGCTGCATGATTCTTTGTCATATTTTCTTTTAATATTGCAGGAAAGGCCCCATATTCTAGTGTTATAACACATGGATTTGTACTGGATGAGAGAGGATTAAAAATGAGCAAATCTTTGGGTAATGTTGTAGATCCAAGAACTGTAATTGAAGGGGGGAAGAACCCGGGGGTTAGTCACTGGTCACTGGTCACTGGTTATATTATATCATCACATCTCATTTTTGCTGAATGATGACTTGTGTTTCTATTTTTTGTTGACAGGAAGCACATTCCTATGGAGCTGATGTCCTAAGACTATGGGTTTCGAGTGTTGATTATACAGGTGATGTTATGGTCGGGCCTCAAGTCCTCCGTCAAATGTCAGACATATATAGGAAGCTGCGAGGAACGTTGCGATTTCTTCTGGCAAATCTTCATGATTGGAAAGTATGTCAGGTTTTCTGTCAATCATAGACATTGAGTTGAGACCATGCTCATCACTTAAATTTTCCTTACATATACCAAAAGCCATTTTTAATCGTTGTTTCTCGTTATCAATATCATTACCGGAAATATTTGAGAAACACTCTCTCAGAGTACAAACACACACAAGCTTGTATTAAATTTTAGTTCACTGTTTTATCCACTTGTCTGATGCTTCATTTGAAGGTTAAAATTGGGTAATGTTTCTGATTGATCTATACAGATAATGATCTTTTGTGTAGTTAGATATCTCCTTCTTTAGTTTCTCACATTTTTATGATTTATTTTTGCAGGCTGATTATGCTGTTTCTTATGATGATCTTCCCACTATTGATCAGCATGCACTGTTCCATCTTGAAAATGTTATAGAGAACATCAGACAGAACTATGAAAATTTTCAGTTCTTCAAAATATTCCAGGTACATATTTTCTTGATTGCATTGATGACTTGATAAATTTTGGAAACAGATGTAATTTTTTCAATGCCAATGTTCTGTATGTGAAGTGGCCGATAACTTTCACTTTGATTTCCTGTCTTTTTGGAAGAAAAGAAAGTACACCTTTAATAAGGAGAGAATTTGCTAATGTTTTCTTGATATGTAAATAATTGTGTATATTTTTTTTTTTTTGGGGGGGGGGGGTGAAAATTTACTTGTTTGTAGTATTAATCTTTTGCTCCATCAATTCCCCATATCCGGGGTGAACATAAGCTACTTGTTTGGAATTTATAAGTAATGACAAAATCGAAACCATTTCAATCACCATTGACTAGTCAAAGGGCAAGATCTATTCCTTGTGCATGTTTACCAGAATTCAGGTTGTCAAAACTCTAGTTTTTTTTTTTCCTGTCTAGAGCTTTTACTATTGAGACTTGCACAGTAGTTACATTTCTGAAGGTTGCACCCTCTTAATGTTCAAGTCTATGTTTGAAGTGACACATCCAAGATCCATGAAAAGCTACAAAGTGGTCCTAAATTGATCATTAATTTCTCAAGTATCTGAGGAACCTCTAGGGCTTCTGTTGGATGATGCTGGGCATGTACGTAATATTCATTGAACAGTGGCTTTTAACACGTGTCAGTATTTTTGACTTGTGGTGCAAAGTTTTTGTCTCCAAGAGTACATAGGCCATTAATTGATTAAATGGTGCCATAGATGATTACAAAATTGACTCTCACTAACAAACACTTTTTAAATTTAATTTTTCATATTAAATTTCAATTTTCAGTCCATAACGCATAATTAGTGCTCCTAACTGTTTATCAACCCATGACAGATCATTCAACGGTTTGTGATTGTTGATCTCTCAAATTTCTACTTTGATGTTGCCAAAGATCGACTTTATGTTGGGTAATTCTCGTCTTACTTAGCATTGTAATAAACTATGTATTTAGCTATTACCCGTTCCTTTTCCTACCTTTCATCATTTGCATTGGATTTTTCTTGAGATGCTTTAATATCACAAGTTTTACTTTTGTGCTGAACGCTACACACATTTGTGCAATGAATCTAGACGGATTGTTTGTCTTGTAGGTTTCGTAAATTCTATGGTCTATGATTCTCTGTTTCTGGCCTAGTACGCACAGGACCCTATGTTAGGATATTCTCAAGGTTGCATTGGATTTATGGATGCAAAATGTATGTAATTGAATTAAATCACTTACAATTCTAAGAAAAAGGGAGAAGTATTCAATCATGTAAGTGGGATAACTAAATGTTGTTTAATAGCTTAGAATTTTAACATTGCATAGGTATATTGAGAGCCTCATTACAAGTGAATTTGAAAAGTGAAATAACAAAACAAAGGCATTGAACATGAAATCACCTTTTATCAAATTGTTCATTCATTACAATCTAATAAACTGGTCTAATTTGACGTTCTTGTACTCTGAAAACTGTAGCTGATTGTAAGAACACATCGATGATGCTTCTCTAAGGTGTTATCTTTCCAGGGGCTCTACAAGTTTTACACGGAGAAGTTGTCAGACCGTTCTTGCAGCACATCTACTTTCCATAGTAAGGGTGATTGCTCCAATACTACCTCATTTGGCTGAGGATGTGTGGCAGCATCTTCCTTTTGATTATATTACTGAAGATGGTCATATTGCCCAATTTGTTTTTGAGTCAAGATGGCCACCATTAAATGAAAGATGGCTAGCTTTCCCTGAGGAAGAAATTGATTTTTGGGGTAAAATTCTTGAGGTAATCATTCTTCTTCCTGTCAAGATAACAAACTGATCTAAATGACAGTTTGTAATCCAAGCGTATGCTTTGTTAAAAATTCATAAAAAATGTGATAATAATTAGACAACTGCATAATATTTTGTTGAATCTCTCTCTCTCTCTCTCTCTCTCTCTCACACACACACACACACACACAGCAATTTCCTGAATTATTTTGTGCTTTTAAAGTCTATGAGGAGTGTAGGTTGTGGGTAGCCCTTTTGTATCAGGCTATTGGACCCCTCTTCTCCCACCCCCACCCCCACCCCCACCCCAAAAGAAAATAGTGGGAAAAAAGAAAGGAATTTATGAGTTGCTAATGCATATAAACTTAAGATTTGCTAATCGCAATCCCCCTTAATGCATCAGGAAAAATCAGTCTTATATGATTTTAAAAATTTCAAGCTAACTGTTTTGCAACACAGCATTTTGTCCTAATTTTAGCCACTTTGTCCAGCTGAGAACTGAGGTGAATAAAGTCCTGGAGGTTGCCCGTACAGGGAAGTTGATTGGTTCCAGTTTAGAGGCAAAGGTCCATCTCCACACTTCAGATAATGGCCTGGCTGCAAGGTTAAATGACATGATTAAAGCAAGGAATGAAGCAGACACGTTGCCTCGTATATTCATAACATCTCAGGTATGCTTGATTCTTTTTTACACGTTTCAGGTAAAAGCCTCTGGCTCAATCTAGTTATGCAATATTGTATAACTCATATCATTTATAAACTATGTTGTATACAAACTTATATCAGAAGTTTGGGAAAATTGCACCCTACCACGCTCTAATCTTCATTTTTATCATGGGTGTACGGGCAATTGCTTGCTCTTAAAAATGATGGGTAAATTGATGAAACATCCACTTTTAATGGTTGACTGCAGGTAGAAATTCTTTCATCCTTGGAGAATCAACAATCTGAAAATATACCATACAATGGAGAATATCTCATTCAAGGGAAGGACAAAGTTTGGATTGGTGTGTCTTGTGCAGATGGCTTGAAATGTGAAAGATGTTGGAATTTCTCGCCCCAAGTTGGTTCTTTTGCTGAGCATCCTTCACTTTGCAGTCGTTGTTATAAAATTGTCGCTGGTCAATCAAGCCCTGCTTTAGCTGCGGTCAGCTGAGATCACATAGGACAGAATTGAATTCAAAAACACTGTGTCAGCAACTGAATTGAGTACATTTATCAATATCTCTCTCTAATCTCTACGCCCGTGTTCAAAACCTGCTTTGCGGTGAAAGCATAATTTTGGTATGGTTGATTACAATAGGTTCAATTTGCTTAGTAAATGCTGGAATTTGTAGTGATCAGAAAAGAGAAGCTACATTTGTTTGTAGAACGGTACATCTTTGTAATTTATCATGATTGACATTGATGGCATATAGGATCAATATACTTTTCTCAATGTTCTTGGCTGTCTGTAATTCATTAAGTATAGTCTTTGTATCTTGTAAAGAAACATAATAGCAGGTAGTATGAGCATCTCTAACATTTCATGCATATTTATATTGTGCGATCTATTTATCGCATATTCCACCACCTTTTCTGTTTTAACCATTCATCTTCCTCTCCTTGTCTCGTTCAATTGTAATATACATTGAATGGATAGAGGGTGAGGGGTGGTGGAGTGGCTAAAGTTGAGGATGAGGTAGCGGTGTCAATCCTATCTATTGCACAGGTCTCCAGTCTATGGTGGCGTCTCAGAGAAATAGCTGGACGAAAACCTTAAAAATGTTAAGTGAACACGACTCTTGTTTACATTAGCGTCTTAGAGAATAGCTGGTAAGCAACCTTACAACCTATTTTGTTTTTGGGGAATTTTACTTTGCACCCCAAAAAATTTAGGAATTTTTATTTTATACCCTCCTAGATTATACTTTTTACATTAAACCTTTAATGTATTAAAAATATTGTAAAATAGCCTTTCCGTTAGCTTTTATTTCTTATTTTGTCCACCTCAAATGAGTTGATTTTTAGCGAAATGAGAAACGGAAGTTATCCAAAGCGCCACACTGGAATAATTTTAATACATTGAGGTATAATTTGAGAAATTTAAAGCCTGTTTGGTGTGTATATCAAAAAACGGTATGTGAAAACTATTTTTGATAAGAATTTTAAGTTAGTGTTTTTAAAAAATTTTAGATTACAAAACTTGTGTGGTAATATATTTTTAAAAATAGTTTTAAAGAACAAAAATTATAAAATCTGTTTGGACAATAATCATAATTTTCACCTATCTTTTTCTTTCCCTTATCTTTGTCTCCACAAAACACACACACACACACATAAAGGCATACATACACACTCACACAAACACAACACACACATATACATAGATCCACACATATCTGTACTCAGATCTGTGTATATTTGTAGTTGTTGCGAAAAAGAGAGAGAGAGAGAGAGAGAGAGAGAGAGAGAGGGGAGGCAGACGCTGGGCGCTGAAGAGAAAGGGAAAAAAAAAAACGAAGACACTGGGCAGTGAAGCTCAGTGAAGACGTTGGGCAAAGTGGAGAGAGAGAGAGGAACGAAAAAAAAAAAAGACGTTTACTGCTAAGGGAATTCGAAGGGCAGACTTCATTTAATTTGTCTCTGTGTTTCCAAAATTTTCAAAGAAAATTGTGAAAACAAGTTTAACTTGTTTTCTATTTTTTTGCTCCAATTATCTTTTTTTCTCAAAAATTTGAGAACATAAATGCTAAGCAAACAACTTTTGTGTATTTTTGAAATTTTAATAACAAAAAACTGTTTTCAGAAACAAAACAAAACATGCCTTTAATCTTTGAAATTTAAAGGGATAATTTTTTTAAAAATTATCATTTTTGTGGATAATTTATAACATCTGTGATTATTTTTATTACGATTGTGGTTGTTTTTATCACTGTTGTGATACCTAAAAAAGTGATAAAAACAATTATAACAAAAATGGTAAAAACAACTATAATAAAAATAACCACAAATGTTATAAATTATCCATAAAAATGGTAAAAATAATTACCACAATAGTCGTAAAATTAAACACATCAATGTTAAATCATCCACAACAGTGATAAATTTTTTGATTGTAAAATGAATAACAAAAATTGTAAAAATATCTATTAAAATAATAAATTTTAGAAGTGTAAGTGTTGTAGTTATCTTTTGATAAAAAAAATAAAATAATAAATTTTAGAGGTATAGTACCGAATTTCTTTTATCGATACCCTAGTCAAGTCCAAAGTTGGGGGAAGTAAGAGGTTTATAACTCCACCGTCAAAAATTAAGCAACCTCAGCCGCTGTTACTAGTACAATTTCAATATCTTTTCATTGTTGTTTTTCACCATCCCAAAAATTGAAGTCACCCAAGAAATTCACACGAATCCATCCGAAATAGTATGAATTAGATATATGATACACAAATGTTTATTAGCGTGTTCTTCTGCAATCATTTCAGGCGCCTTGCCACGGTTTATGACTCTCTTGCACCTTCTACTAGCACATTCTACTCATAGGGAAACACTGAATTTCATACCATCAACAATGTGAAATTGAAGAGCACTCGATACAAATTAGACTATGCTTTTCAATGTTTTCATTGATAATTATATAATCTTAAAAAAAAAAACACTATGACACAAGAAGATAGTGGTTAATCAAGGAATACAATAACCAATAAGCTCAGACAAATACAGATAACAACAAAATACAAACTGGCAAGTATAAAAAATAGAGAGGTACATCAAAAAAACAATCATGAGGTAAAAAGGGCATCTAAATCTTTGACTTGAAGCCATCAATTTCTTTCGCATTCATGAAGATACCTTGACAGCTTTAAATGCAGGGTGAAGCAACCCAAGCTCATCCTTAACTTCAAGTGGATTGCTAGTCTCATTCCTTGTTCTCTTAACTCTCCTACTTGCAAGTGACTTGTGAGTGAACCCATACATCTGCAGAATCTGATTATCCCCAAAATTAAATGCTCTATCCATCTGCTTCAAGCACCTCTCCACGGGATAATCTCCAAACTTCCCACAAGGCTTGCAACCCACAAAGTGAGTAACAAGCGGCCACCGATGATCGCCAAGACCCGGATGGTAATTCTCAATCATTTCCTCATACCTATCCACCAAAATGCCCCAATAACCATGTAAATAATAAGCATTTTCAAGATACACCTTATCACCCCACCTATCCCTCTGACTCTCCAACAAATAAACCATAGCAGACTGATCATCAGCTTCAAAAACTGGCCTACCCTTAAGCTCTCTAGTCAATATCTTCCCAGCCTCATCCCTAATCTTCCCTTTTGGCCCCATTGGTGCCCAGACATCAAGAATGTCCAGAGACCATTGACAATTCCTAAGCAAAAAACTACCAGTGTTCAATCCAATCCAATTCTTCTGATCATACACCATCTCATTCCACCCATGCATCACAAAGTTATGATCCTTATACCTCTCCCATGGCACCTCAAATGCCATATCTGTAAACATGGCATCACTATCCATCCACCACAGAAACTCCACCTCTGGATGCATCAACAAAAGCTTCCTAATCAATGGCAATTTAGCCCAGAATCCAGCCATTTCAGCATCAAGCAAAGCGAAATTGTAAAAGATCTCAATCCCATGTAACCTACAATAATCAATCTTGTTCTTTATCGATTTCAATAGATAATGATCTCCCACTGGGTTTTCACACGGTTTTGGCGATGACCCAGTAACCAACAACACCCTAGGCTTATTGGGTGCAATGAAATTCGGAAAATTCGAGTTTTTCTTCAACCATTCATCTCTTTGCTCATCCCAATCAGAGATTTTAGGTCCCAGACTATAGGGCTTGTTTGGATCTCGTTTTTGATCACCTTCTTCCTCATCAACCAAAAGTTTCTTGATATCGAAGGTGGCGTAATTGTTGGAATCCGAATAAGAGTCAGTGGCGGTGGAGGTGGTTGTTGCGTCGGCTTCTTCCAGAACACGGCGGGGCTCCACCCTTTTCCGGTAGTAGTGGAAGGTCTCGCGGATCTCATTCAAGTCTTGCTCCGGCGTTCCAAATTTTCCGGCACCCAAGTTTCCCCGGAGGACGATGACTGTGAGGAACAGGCAAAGCAGTGTGAGCTTGCCGTTCCGAAGAATTCTATGGATTTGTCGAATCCGACGAGCGCCTAAAAACCGCTCCAACATTGTATTGAATCGAAAGGTGGAATTTACAGTAGTGTTACAGAAATTTCGAATGAAGGGTTTTTAGGAGGTGGAAAAGGAAAGTTGGAAATTGAATGGCATTGGAGAAGATTAGAGGAAGAAGATCGGGTCTTTTCAGTGAGTTTTTACGACCAAATTGAGATCTAGAAATTAGGACAAATAGGGTTTGATACAAAGTTCTTTGAATGTCGGTGACCAGAGTTGTGTGTGTGTGTGAGAGAGAGAGAGGGAGAGAAGTGGAAGGTAGACTCGGAGAAGGCGGAAGAAAAAGGATTCAGACAATTTTTTATTATTTTTGTCATTTTGCTTAACGCTATGCACGTAATCACATATCGAAGAACATAGACGTGCGGATTTAACGTATTATTAATACTAACATGCTACATTAATTTAATGGACTTCTCTCGTTTATGGGAGAATTATTATTATACTTTATATTCCAAGAGATTTTAAATTTTTTAAATTTTTAAAAATTAAAATTTTCATATATTAAAAATATTATAATATTAAATTGACGAAAAGGAAAATTGTTTAGGCAGACGTGTTGAAAAAAAAAAAAGTTATTGCATTGAAATTAATTCAGAGATATAGATCTTGGTATTTATGTCATTAATTATATAAAAAATAAAAAAAATCATATGTATGACATTTTAATTAGACAAAAAAAATACTATATTCCACGCTAAGATTAAGATTAGGAATAACATTAATATTCTTAGCTGCAGTCAAACGCAAATTCAGTGGTAGGCGCCAGATTGGGCTCGCTCTCAGGCTCAGCACATTGTTTCACAGCTCATGCATTGTGATTGTGATTGTGATGTTAACTTATAGTATAATGTCCTTTTTGCCCTTTTCCGCGTTAAACCTGTCACTTACACTTGTACATTTGATTTTATTACATGAACACCCCTTATATTTTAAAAATGACATTGAAACCCCTTAATTAATCGATCAAATCCATGCCTAGATCTAAACCAATCACCCCCGCCCAAGGTCACACTCCACGACCCGCGACCCATGACTTGAAACTCTCTATGCCCGAAGCCCCAACAATTAAGCAATACCTTTTTTTTTTCCCTCTTTTCCTGCACCACCCCCAACCTCCACCGTTCAGTCACCATTCCTCTCCGTCTCACTCTGCCTCCCACACACAGTTGCTTTAGGAAGAGGTACCACCATCGATCCTCCATGACTCATGGCAGAACTCTCCCAACATTCAAAAAGTGGATCTAGAGCATAGATCTGAAGTACGTATGTGATATCGAAGTACTGATATAAAGAAATTTGATCAAATCAAAGCA